GCCGGCACTGATCAACAGAAGAGGTCCAATCCTGCTACACGACAACGCCCGTCCGCAAGTTCGAAAAATCACCGTCCGAAAATCAAATGAATTGGGCCTCGAAGTTCTGCCTCAACCGGCATACTTCCCAGACCTCTCGCCAACTGAATACTATCTTCTCAAGCAGTTCGATAACTTTCTCACGGGTAAAATCTTCGGCAATAAGAACAGGCAAAAACGGCCTTTGTCGTCTTCATCTAATCTGAAGCACAGTTTCTTTTCTGACGGAATCTATCGACTGATTCAAATGGCGCTTGTTTCGATTAAATTCAATGAGTATTCACTGAGATTTGATTTAACCTAATAGTATTGAATTTTCTAATGATAATGCTCATTTGAAGCTTTGATATTTAAAATTGCAACTGCAACATATGATAGAAATGCTATTAATAATATCTAGAACTGTTTTTAAAATACTTTTTTCTCGGCATTGTAATGTAGCCAGTCTTCTCCCTGAGGGTTTTAGAAGGTCAAGGTTATAGCAACATATTTTTGGCTCTCATATATAAAATAGATAACAACCATCTTCAAACCTGTGTGATGTTACGAAATGATTATATCTCATTAAAAACTGTATTACTTTTTGACGATGGATATTTTTGAGAGAACTTCAAGATTATTACGTTTTCGTATTTCGAACTAAATCTTATATTCAACCTGAAATGGAGATGAATTCATATTTTCCTTCATCATTAGTATAATATATGCAGTTGTAACTAAGATATATCCAAGACAAAACTAGAGCATAGTTAACAAATTTAGTTGGGAATATTATCTGATTTAACTTTCCGAATATTACTGTGTACTACTGCTGTAACGTGTCCGCTCAACTTCTTGTTAATAGAGGGTGTCGCCACAATACTCATCTTCATTTTGCAATTTTGTACCAGGGTGATGATTATTAGTAAGTCAGTTCTATTTTAGTATTCGTATTTTCATTTGATTCGTGAGTCAATTGATCCCTTTCTCCATTTTTATTCGAGTAACACTGCATCATGAGACTCTCAATAAACAGTTCACAAAATCGCAACATGTGTTTCATCACACACTAGCATCTTCAGGTGTGTTCATAGAATATGAACATGTTGCTTCACTTTGATCACATCACTGTTGTTTGTACCCAATTCGCTGTTCAAAAAATTATGTGAGTGTTCATTTTTCACGAAAATTAGTTGTTTATTCATCAACTTCTATTTTGTCCTCTTCAAAGAAGTCCCCCTCAGATATAATACACTTGTGCCAGCGTTTTTTCCAATCTTTGAAAGAGTTCTGATATGCACTTCTTGGTATGTCCTCAAGCTCTCTTAGCGATTCGATTTTCATCTCCTCAATCGTCGCAAAACGTCGTCCTTCCATGAGTCTCTTCAATCTTGGGAACAGAAGAAAGTCGCATGAAGCCCAATCTGGTGAATATAGTGGCTGAAACATGATTACGAACAAGCAATAACGAGTGAGCAGGTGCATTATCGTGATGCTAAAGCCATGAATTATTTTTCAACAAAACTAGACATCTTCTCGGCCTTCTGTGAAAAGCGTGTACCACCTGTAAACATGACTCAGAATACAATCACCGTATGACACTGATATTCATTAAAAACGAATGCATTTCCTTTTTTTCGTCACATGTCGTTGAGAATATTCCTCATTTAACATATCTCCACTCAGAAATCCATTTCCCTTTGAGAATCTAGAATATCAGTCATACAACATTCCCCTGCGAACAAAAGTATCTCCATGTTCAATTTCAACAATTCCTAAAATAATAATTTGAATGCTTGGGAATCATCCAATTGGTTGGCAAAGACAATGATAAAATAAAGGACTTCAGAGTGATCTGATGAAAGGAACTAGCTGAAAAATGTTGAAAACACATCAGGAAAAGTACACCAGCTTCTTCAAATGAAATTCAATTCATATAATGTTATCCAGATTATTGCTGAAGAGGCAATAAAGCAAGTGTTTCATTCCGAAACATCGAAGTCCTCCATTGAGGGTGGCAGTGTTCAATGTAAGTGAAATTTCACCTCTTTCATATACTACTCGTATATTCTTATACTGATTCAACAAAAATTGTTAACATTCCTCATGAAATGTCATCAGGATATTGTTGAAACTGTCCAGACATATCTACTTTCGACGGCCACTGTTCTGGGAGAATTACTTTGACTTAGTCACTTGAATTGGCATCGTAAATTATCTTTTCACCTATTCATCGAAGCACTCCCGGGACTCAGAATCCAGTGCTCAGGTGAATCGATTACTCATTACTTTTTTCATGAATTACGTTGGTAATTTTCTTATTATGTGTCCAAAATGTTATTTCATCATGATTATCATTACGTTGAACACAGTAATTCTGTATCCTGAAATATCAGTATGAAAAAATGTATATTTCATATCATGCGACATGCACTTTGAGTACGGATGTAGTGATATTGATGTCAGAGCTTCCATAGAATATAATAATGATGGCAGACACCCTCTATATTCACGGTTGCTAGCTCATACTTTGATCCTGTCAGAAGTGTAACTAAGCACGATTATATTATGAATGCGCTAGGATTTACAACTTTGTTAAGATAAATGGCTGAAAACAGACAAGAATGGGCCTTGAGCCACGTCTAATATGAACACACAATTTAACGTTGTGTGAATACAGTTTGAAATGTTCATATCTCGGCTTCAATGTTGTTCGTTGCGCTGCAGGAACAAGAAACTGCACTTCCAACCGTAATATCTATTCGGATACGTTTTCACTTTTGATGGAATACAAAAGTGCTCTTAATCTGTTCACTGAAACAAGGAAAATATGATGAGGTGATGAAATATGGATTTATGACGGTATTTCTTATTTTGATTATTGAAGTGACCACTCGGCTCGAAAACATTGTCATGATACAACAATAATATTTCTTATTAGTCAGTGGGATATGCTTAAAGACAGGCAGTAAAAAAATTTAAAGAAATGAACTTTAAATGTTCAAGCCAGTCTCGATATACCTACACAGTAGGTTGAATGGACTGACGCCTATCACAAAACAACTACTCCGCTGGCTAATACCACGAACGGCGTTGGATTACATCCGACAGGTGTCAGTGCAGGATTCTTCACAGAAAATGTCCTACATATGCAATTGGTCACTATCTTGCACTGACGAGTGGCTAAGGAGCCCGAAACCGGTCTGCAAGTTTGCCCGTTCCAAAATTGAAGGTCGACTGGATTATATCCTGACGCCTGTCGGATATAATCCAACGCCGTTCGTAGCATTAGCCAGTGGAGTAGTTGTTTTTTGATAGGCGTCAGTCCATTAAACCTACTGTGTAGATAATCCGAGACGAGCTTGGATATTTAAAGTTAATTTTTTTAGACAGCAATAACGGCCGAATATTAGTGTCATAAAAGATCTACAGTAATTGAAGGTTTTTAATCTCAGGTTCTGAAGGAAAATGTATGAAGAAACACAAAATACAAACCTACCATTTATCCAAATCACCAAAAACACAATTCTCTTCTTGATGCGAGAAGACGAATATATAAATTACTATTTGCGGATTCTTGAAGCTGTAGCAACCTCATGATGGAAAACGATTCGGTTCGCTGTTTCTTAGACGAAGAACCTCAGCAAAAACAGTGTATTTATTCAGAACCTGTATTGTATCAAATGTGAAAACGTTTCAGATTAAGAGTCTTCTGGAATGTTTCATGATAAATCTGAAGAATTACATATAATTTTCCAGAAATGTCTACGTTATTTTAGGCTCAAGAATGTCTTATAAATGAATTTAAAATAACAACAAAGGTATGACAGCTATTGTCCTGTTTTTGGCCGTGATCTGCAGGTTTTATGTCAGATGTTTCGTCTACTACTGCGGTAGTCATTATCAAAGGCGATGTGGTTTTCACTATAATAATGGTATTTTTCGTTCGTTATTGTTTCAAGCTTATTTTTCAAAAAATTATTTTTAGTTCGATGTTTTTTGAAAGCGTGTTTTTTAGTTTTTTAAACTATATTTGTTTTTAATTTTTTAGTTTCGTATGCTATAAAAGCATGTTTTTTAGTGTTTTCAAACTATATTTATTTTATCTAAACTTTGGGATCAATCGGCCGTATATTGTTTAAAAAAAATGTTGAAAAAAATGAATCGAATCAAATCAAGGAGGTTACGTACGGCGCCATCTGCCCGCGAATAGATCAAACAATAATATCGATATATCAAAGAGGTTTCGTACAGCGCCATCTGCAGGCGAATAGATCAAGCAGTAATGTCGATAATTCTGTCGAATACCGATCCCGAGCTTGAGAGTTGCAAGCAAACAAACATACATACATACATACAGGTGAAGCTAATGAAAGCGTGTTAAAATGAACATGAAGCATGTATACATCATCACCTCCATAATATAAAGATATGAGGTTTATATGATTTGATATATTTCCCAGATTTCTCAACATATCATATGAATTCAATTTTTTTGGCAGAAGATTCACAATGTGCCTTGAAGTTCAAATGTTCATCCAGTGTGAAGTAACTTGAGAATTCAACCTCTGGTACTTTTATAAAATGATGGTATATTCATTTTTCATTTGGAATTTTGGAAATGACGGAAATTCATGAGCATTGTTTCAATCATATTCAGATAAAGTGACTTTTCTTAGAATTGTATCACAATCAACTTGACGATTCACCAATTATATATCTCAAAAAAAAAACAAATTCTCGAGAAAAAAGGAGACGCGGGATTTCGGGAAAGAGTCGAAACCTCGAGAAAAATTCAAAATTTCGAGAAGAAAGTTTGAATGTAGCCCTTTTACGCCTTCGTAGAAAAGTGTAATTGATTGTGCAAGTTCCACATTGTTTATTCCTTCATGAAAATATACAAATCATCAAATATAATATTAAAAAAATCATGTCTGATGCACAACATTGGAGAAACTGTATTCTCACATTGTCTTTTGCAGGTTTCTTGGATCAGACACAGGGACATCCACATTTTAACGGTTGGCAGTTACACTTATACCAGCGATCAGCGTTTTCAAGCTAATCATCACCCCGAAACCGACGAATGGACACTCCAAATTAAATGGGCGCAGAAGAGAGATGCCGGAATATACGAATGCCAAATTAGTACTCAACCTGTGCGAAGCTATTTTGTTAGTCTCAACGTTGTAGGTGAGTGGGTGTTAGAAATGCACAGAAATTCTCGACAGACTTTATTTGAATGATGACTTTAAACCCTTATAGCATTTCTTCCGGCTTGGGTTACCGACTAGGGTAAATTTCTTTCCGGTATACGGGGCATTATTTAATACAGTTGTTACTAACTATGTGTTTTGAAATATGTTCTTCTAGCTCGTAATAATGCTCACGCACACCCGGAACAATTTAATTAAGAAATAGGGAGACAGCATTCGTTTTCCTTATCAATCATATTGGAGGTTCGGTGTTTGTTAATACCGCAATCCATTAAATTACTTCGATCTTTATTGTCTGATATCATACCACACATTTACTTATTGTCACTTTTAATAACTGTAAAAGCTTCACCCAGGTATTCGATATTTCTGCAAAGAAATCAGTTATTAATTTTCTGGACATAGTTCTCCAAAATATCTGAAGGTAGAAATTGGAAAAAGTTCATTTGAAATAGATTAACCGTAATATACAAACAACATTGCTCAATAGAAAACATAGTGAAAGTATGCAGATACAAATACAGGTACAAATACAACTGATTACGTGACAAGGCATAAATACGCTTTACGAAGCCTAAAACGTAGTCATCGAGCAGCAAGCCATGATGGTTAAACCTCTGAAGAAGCTAGCCACTCGCGCCAGCGAAACGTAAGAAAGAAATACCAAAAATCCACGGCTTTCAAACTCGAAAAGCAATGACACTGATAGTGAAACTATCCAAAATAAGCATGAGATGAATAAAACTGATGTATATTGTTCAAAATATAATTCCATGCCAATAATGTTGACACTACAACATTTCCAAGAAAATATTCAAGTCAGTATTCTTGCAAGTATGAAGTATGGCTCAGTTATCGGAATATTTTCGAACAAAACTGTTAATTTAATAATCTGGTAGACTACTTCCCTGGCTAATACCACGCTGGATATTGCATTATATCCGACAGAAATTCATATACAATGTTTTCTGGATCACGATGGAAATAGAGTACAAGGCTATGCTGACGTCTTGTTCATCCTAGTCCAGGGTGAATATATATATAGTGGGAGGAAGCATGCAGCGAGCTCTGAACATTATAACAAGATGGACCGAGGAAGAAGGGCTAAAAATAAGACCAGCAAAATCAACCATAGTAGCATTCACCGGAAGCACCAAGACAGAGAGCCCAGGACCCCTAAAAGTTTTAAGTGGAGATATACAACTGTTATGGTAGATTAAATACCTGAGAGTTATACTAGATCCTCGGCTAAACTGAAACCAACACCTAGAAATATTAATGATGAGGGCGGAGGTAGCACTGATTGTGTCTAGACGCACTTACAGAAAGACATAGTGGTACCAATGTGGTACCAATGATATAACATATGTATCTATGGTTTGGTGGCCAAAGATGAAGAAGACGACTGCTATTAACGAACTAATCGGGGTGCAAAGATTTACTCGTTTGAGAATAACGGTAGAAATGAACACTAACAGCAGCAGCTGCTCTTGAATCTTCCTCCCTCATAACTTGTAATAATGGGAGATTCAAGAGCGAGCCAGTTCATACTGGAAAATCCATAGAGTTACAAGAGATGGAGCAAAAGAGAAATATTTGGGGGAACATCAGTCTTTTGGGCTGAATTCTGTGGAATCTAGGAACATCAATTTGAAGTCTCAACGAAATAAGAGGATCAATAATTTCACAGACTGCACTTGTGGAAATAATGAACCCAAAAGTAACTTTGAGACTGGTCTGAAAATGCCTTGGAGAACTAAAGAAACTGACGGACAGGATGCGTATACTATACAAAAATCATCAACTCCATATCAAAGCCGTGAATCTGCTGTGGAGGTACCAACATCTTTGGAATGGAACCAGAGTGCGAAATAGTATAAATTAGTACAGGAAACGATATTTTTTGAATAGATGTCATGAAAGAAATGGGAAAAAGATACCATAAGCCCACGAGCCTTCAGTGATGAAGACGGGACATGCCAGTGGGCCCTTAAGAACGTGAATATAAGGAAATCCGCAGAGTTGTTTCTCCAGATATTTACCTGCTGAGGGAATATCTAATTCTGCTATTCTATATGAGATGTTATTATCAACGGCGACCTGAACAACATGACTTCCTCATGGGATGAGAATGTTGGGAATATCGCCAAAATGGCATCGAAAAACGGCCGTATATTCTGTGCCAGAAGTTATTTCACTCATCAGCAGCTTCTGAAGATCTAAGAGAATACTTATGATGCACTGTTTGGAACCTTTGGTGTAGTAATGAATATTACTGGAGTTTTTTCCCAACACCAAATCGTTATTTTCAACACGTCAGGTGTTAAACACCGCGGATGTTAAAAATAACGATTTGGTGTTGGGAAAAAACTCCAATAATATTCATCTAAGGGAATAGTCATATTCAAACCGTCTAGCAATACTGTTCTTGCAGTGTTCGATAAACTCGCAGGCTGTGTTTTCACGAGATTTCGGCAATTGAAAACAAAATAAAGTTTCTTTGCAAATTGCAACCTCAATCCAAATAACGAAAGTTTCATTTCAAATTAAAAAACGTTGCAAACAGCTAAATCAAAGTTTTTCTGAAAAAAATCAAGCTTGTTCATGGATATATTTCTATTTGAAGAATGAGTCGATATAAGAAACGTTTCAAAATTCGAAAACTACTCAATTAGATGATCCATCATTGAAAAAACCAAAGTAACGATGAATGTTCAACCTGTCAATAGTTATGGCTTGTCGCTTATTCATGAACTTTCAAACGAAAATGTGGTGGTTTATTCGGTACAGCATATCGACTTCATTGAACTGACAATATCTGTAGAATGAAAACGCCACCAGTTGTTGATTGCAAAGATCAAACCTCAAATGACCCACAGACGAAGCAAAGTATTGTATTATTCGAGCCGTAAACGTAAAATTCCAATCAAAAGTTGCTATTAATTTTTTCCTCATACTTTCTTTGTCATACACCGATCCAAACTTTATGTAGATACGATTTCTCCCACTGGTCATGACTCAGTCCGGTAGCTGTATGTACAACTAATACAGTATGTTGTTCATCAAAGTAGCAGCGGTTTCGAAAAAGGTGATAATAGATGCTTTAGTAGCCTTTCCTTATATGAATCAACCCTCAGTAGAAACTACTTCATGAATTTACTTCAATGTTGAAATATTTGAGTGAAGGAATCTCGCAGTGGATAACTATTTGGCTGGCTTATAATTCCGACATCAATTTACACAGCAAAATAGTTGAACAGAAAACTGTCTCATGATAATAGCAAAATTTTTGCATTATTCGTGTTAAAAAAAATTGTAACCTATTGCTCGTATTTTTGGAAATCTTATAATGCACTAAACCAGGACAAACTGTTTTAACAGTCCTTATATTACTAATTTTATCAATTTTATTATGGTCATTATAATTTGTTTTCCACAACATACTCTGGAGTAAAATCTCAGTGCCGTAAAATGAATGCAACCTTTTCAATATCACTAAAAATGTTTCAGTAAAATCAACACTTCACCTAAAACATTTCTCCATTATTCTATAGTTTCTTATTGAGGGCATCAACATGATGTGAAACTTCAGAAATCATTAGAGCAAGGAAACTAACTGAACGTTGCCTAAATAAAGATATGGAAAGTTTCAACATCCAGGCACTGGGGAAGTTAGATCTACTCTAACAAAATATAAACTTGAATCACAACAAACTTTCCAGTTTCAGATAAGAGAACTAATACTGCATGTTAAAGTTAAAAGTCCACTTAAATTTTATGGACTGGTATTAGCATTTTTACAGTAACTACGCGATTTCCTATCATGACAGATAAATTCATTGGAAGTGTAAGATGTCGATAACTTCTGTACAAGATTCCAGTCTGGCATGACGAATAAAACATTTCAAGGATGTCCTGACTTATTAGAACGGTAAATATCCAAGCAAGTCTCGTATTCTGGGAATCACGATACAGCTCTCATTTAAATTCCGGAATTGAAGTATAAAGTATCGAAGTTCGAGCAGGTGAAGCTACAGTTGAAAACAGAATCATAAATTTCTTGTCAGATGTCTGCCGAACCTTTATCACGAAATTTCTATATAGTAGTAAAGTTCTGGGTGTTATATCCTGACACAGCATGCAAGGATTGTCAGTGGAACGAAATCCACCTATAAATATCGAATAAAGGAAATACACAAATTACATACAATGTATTGAAATGCAACACCAAATGATGAAAAATAGCCAATCGACTGAAAAAAAATCAATTCTACGTCTAGCGCATCCTTCTAACAGAGTGAAAGATATGGTAAATTAGGTTTCTCTTAATTTCAATTATTTTTCATAAAGATGTAAATAAAATTGTATTCTAATCGAGCTGGACCAGAAGAATCTCCATATATGGAGATGAAGTTATAACTTCATGAATATTTAGCCCAGTCCACAAACCGTTTCCCAACATTTCTGAATCTGTAGTTGATGAAATTGAAAATCAGTTATGTGTTTAGATACATGAATAAATAATTTGTTGGCGGAACTGTTATATTAGGCTATTCTGCTATTGTTGCCATAATCATCGATTTAAATCAATCGATTGATCGCGTGAGATGAAAATTTTCATCAGATGGAAATACTGCCACACTGAGGGAAAATTTTGCTATGAGAATATTATAAATAGAGGAAGTTGAAAAACCATCCACGAATATGGTAAATATTCTTATTTCTTTGGTTTTATTCAGATGAAAAATATAATATTTGTATGTTCTAAAACAAACATAATCGTCAACTGCCACCAAAAATTTTGTTCTTGGTCTACACATAAGATTTAATGAATAGGATTATTCAATATTGACATTTTACAAACTTTGATAACTAACCATTATAGTTATTACTGTAATAAAAAAAACACTGGTCATAATAGCGCCAATTCTGGAAGTTGGGACCAAAATTAAGAAGAAGAAGAAGAAGAAGAAGAAG